ATATTAGTCTTGTATCCTGCAGCTTTGCTATAAATTGTATACTCGTCCCAGAGGTTTTTGTTGTTCTTTCAGATTTTCTACATACACAATCATAGCATCTGTAAACAAAGATAGTTTTATATCTTCCCTCACAATCTGTACACTATTTACTTCCTTTACTTACTGAATTAGCATATGAATTATTGTTTTTAAACTTTTTTTTAATAGTTGCCCTAGAGTTTGCAATATACCTTTTACAACTCCACTGTCAAAGTCCACATTCAAAACACATCATACTGCTTCATGGGTAGTGCAAGTGCTTTACAATAACAAAGTATTCCTAGTTCCTCCCTCCCAGTCCTTTGTGTCATTATAGGCAATCATTTTACTTATATTCAAGCTATAATCATCAAATACATTGTCACTGTTATTATGTTGAACAAACTGTTATCTATTAGATTAATTAAGAATAGGAAAAATAAAAGTTTTAATTTTATCTTCTCTTATTCCTTCTCTAATGCTCTTCATTTCTTTATGTAGATATAAGTTTTTGAAACTGTATCATTTGCTTTCTCTCTGATGAACTTCTTTTTACATTTCTTGCAAGGCAGGTATATTGACAACATACTCCCTCATAAAGAAAATCTTTATTTCTCCTTCACTTCTGAAGGATAATTTAGCAGGATACAGGATTCTAGTTTGGCAATCCTTTTTTTTTTTTTTTCCCTCAACACTATACATTTCACTCCACTGTCTTCTTGCTTGCATGGTTTTTGAAGGGAAATTAGATGTAATCTTATTTTTATTCCTCCAAATGTAGGGTTTTCTCCCCCTGCTTGCTTCTTTCAAGATTTTTTCTTTATCTTTGGTTTTCTAAAGTTTGAATGTGATATGCCTAGTTGTATTTCTTTGGGTGTTGTTGTTGTTTTGTTTTGTTTTTGTCATTTATTCCGATTGGTGTTCTCTGAGTTTCCTGGACCTGTGATTTGTCCTCTGATATTAATTCGGGGCAGATTCTTGGTCATTATTTCTTCAAATATTGCTTCTGTTCCTTTCTCTTTTTCCTCTCCTCATATTCACATTGTTTGTTCCACCTTTTTAAGTTCTTCCACAGTCCTTGAATATTCTATTCCATTTTCTCCCCCAGTCTTTTTTCTTCACTTTTTGATTTGGGAAGTTTCTGTTGACATATCCTCAAGTTCAGAGATTTTCTCCACTGCCATCTCTAGTCAATTAATGAGCCCATCAAAGACATTCTTCATTTTTCTCCATGTTTTTAGTTTCTAGTATTTCTTTGTGAGTCTTCCTTAGAATTTCTTTCTTAGACTCCCTGTGCTTACATTCCCCATTTGCTCTATCATGCTATTTATCCATTAAAACCCTTAGCATATTAATCATAGTTAGTTATTTTAAATTCCCGGCCTGTTAATCCTACATCCCTGCCATATCTGAGTCTGGTTCTAGTACTTGCTCTGCCTCTTTAAATTGTGTTTTTTGCATTGTAATTTTTTGTTGAAAGCCATACATGGTGTTCTGGGTGAAAGGAACTGTGGTAAATAGGCCTTTGGTAATATGATGGGAGGATGTGGGGAGAGGGGAAGCTTTTTTTTTTTTTTAAGATTTTATTTATTTATTTTAGAGAGGAGGGAGGAGCAGAGGGAGAGAGACAAGCAGACTCCACACTGAGTGCAGATCCCATTGTGGGGCTCAATCCCATGACCCTGGGCTGAAATCAAGAATCGGATACTTACTGACTGAGCCACCCAGGTGCCCCAAGAGAGGGGAAACTTTCTATAGTCCTATGATTAGGCTTAGGTTTTTAGTGAGCTTGTGCCTTGAGCTATGAACTTCATAAGAGCTTCTCATTTTTTTTTCACCTCCTTAGTGGGCAGGATAGCTAGAGAGGGCTGGAGTTGGTATTTCCCTTCTTCTAAGTTGGTTAGACCCTGATAAAACCCCAAAGGGTTAGTTAGGCTTTGGTTAAATAGTTTCTCTTGATGGCAGGTCCTGTTAAGAAGAACAGACTAGTCTGATGTATTTCAAAATGGTTCCTTTTCCCCTCCCCCTGCTGAAGCATCAGGGCATTATTCTCTAATCTTCAGTGTGAGAACTTGGTTAAGCTCCAGAAAGCAAAACTCACAAAAGCATGGGGTAACCCCCTGAGACTGGGCCCTGATAGAGTTTTTAACTCTCAACTTCCAGCAATTCATCATTTATAGTTTAGGTTTTCCTACCCTAGTATCTGTTCCTGAGGAGCTTTCTGCTCTTGGGTTTCTGCTTTGGTAAGCTGTGATTCTCTGTATCCACCTATCTCTCCAGTTTTGGGGGTAGTGGTTTGCTGTCACCTGAATTCTCTGAGGGATCTATGAAGAGTTAGTGATTTTCAGTTCAGCTTTTTACTTATTTTTAGGATGCAGTGATGACTTCCAAGATCTTTACCTGACAAATCACAGGAAGTCTTATTTCTTTGACCCAGGGAATTTCTAGAAATATATATTTTAATAGACTATTTTTAGAGTAATTTTAAGTTAACAGCATAATTGAATGAAAAATACGGAGATTTCCCATACATTCCCTGCTCCCACACATACACAGCTTTCCCCGTTTTCATATCCCCCACTACAATGGTATATTTGTTACCACTGATGAACCTACGTTATCACCCAAAGTCTATAGTTGACATTGCACTTCACTCACGGTGTTGTACATTCTCTGGGTTCTGACAAAAGTATAGCAATATATACCCACTGTTATATATACTGTATGTATACTCTGTATACAGAGTAGTTTCACTGCCCTAAAAGTCCTCCGTGCTTCATACATTCATCCCTCCTTAACCCCTGGCATCTTTTTACTTCTCATCTTTTTTACTGTCTCCATAGTTTTACTTTTTTCAGAATGTCATATAGTTGGAATCATATTTTATATAGACTTTTCAGATTGGCTTCTTCTACTTTGTAATATGCATTTAAGTTTCCTCCCTGTTTTTCACAGCTTGATAGTTCATTTCTTTTTTTTGTTTGTTTTGTTTTTAGTTTTTTTCTTTTGTTTTTCAAGATTAATTTAGTAGTTTTGAAATGCTATCAAAATAACAAACACCATTTTTGTGTCAAAATTTTCTATATAATACATAGTAATACACTGTTATATGATATCTTTATTGGTCATAAGATTTTTTTACTCACTTTTCTTCAAATTTATTTTCTTTTTTTTAATGTTCAGTTAACCAACATATAGTACAACATTAGGTTTTTTTTTTAAGATTTTATTTATTTATTTGACAGAGAGAGACACAGTGAGAGAGGGAACACAAGCAGGGGAGTGGGAGAGGGAGAAGCAGTCTTCTTGCCGAGCAGGGAGCCCGATGTGGGGCTTGATCCCAGGACCCCGAGATCATGACCTGAGCTGAAGGCAGAGGCTTAACGACTGAGCCACCCAGGTGCCCCAGTACATCATTAGGTTTTGATGTAGTGTTCAATGATTCATTTGTTGCAAATAACACCCAGTGCTCATAGTTCATTTCTTTTTAGCACTGAATAATATTCCATTGTTCAGACATACCACAGTTTACTTATCCATTCACCTACTGAAGGACATCTTGGTTGCTTCCAGGTTTTAACAGTTACAAATAAAACTACTATAGACATCCACATGTATTTTTTTTAATTTTTTTTTTTACATAGAAAGCAAGCATACATGCATGCATGCACACACGAGTTGTGGGGGAGGGGCAGAGGGAGCGAGAATCTTAAGCAGGCTCCATGCCCGGCCTTGATCTCACTGAGATCATGACCTGAGCTGAAATCAAGAGTCAGATGCTTAATTGACTGAGTCACCCATATGCCCCTGCATATTTTTGTATGGACATAAGTTTTCAACTCCTTTGGGTAAATATCAAGCATTGTGATTGCTGGATCAGAAGGTAAGTGCATTTTTAATTCTGTAACAAACCACCAAAGTATCTTCCAAAGTGGTTTTACCATTCTGCATTCACATCAACAATGAATGAGAGTTCCTGTTTCTCCACATCCTTGTCAACATTTGGTGTTGTCAGTGTTTTGGATTTTGGTCATTCTAATAGATGTGTAGGGGTATCTCATGTTGTTTTAATTTGCATTTCCTTGATGATACATGATGTGGAACATCTTTTCATATGTTTATTTGCCATCTGTATATCTTCTTAGGTGACTTGTCTGCTAAGGTCTCTGGTCCATTTTTTAGCCAGGTTATTTGTGAATTTACTGTTGAGTTTAAGAGGTCTTTGTATAACTTTCTAGGGAGATACTTCTGGCCTACTATCCCTAGCCTTGGGGATTAAGCAGACACTCTGAGTCATTTTTCTTCCCCTCATTATAATTTATGTAATTATCTCATGGGATTGGAACGTCCTTGGCCTTGGTATACCTTGGTGTTCTAATCTAATGAGTTTACCAACTTCATATATTTAGAGATGATGGAAGCATTGTCATGTGAGCCAAAAAGCCCTCATTGGTCTTCTATAGCAGGATGCTGACCCTGCATATCATTTAACTTCTGTAAGCCTTGTCTTTTTAAACCAGGAAACTATCGTTTGATCTAAACAATTTGAATTTTAGAAAGCATCAAATGAGGGCGCCTGGGTGGCTCAGTTGGTTAAGCGACTGCCTTCAGCTCAGGTCATGATCCTGGAGTCCCGGGATCGAGTCCCACATCGGGCTTCCTGCTCGACAGGGAGTCTGCTTCTCCCTCTGACCCTCTTCCCTCTCGTGCTTTCTATCTCTCATTCTCTCTCTCTGAAATAAATAAATAAAATCTTTAAAAAAAAGAAAAAAAGAAAAAAAAAGAAAGCATCAAATGAGATGACAAAATAGAATCCATTTATATAGTGTAGGGACTTGTGACTACTTTTTAAAATTGTGTTTCATATTGTGGCTTTAAATTACTTCAGGTAAAAATTTTTATGGCTAAAAATAAGATTTATTCTTCCTGGAAATAATGGACAAAAAATTATCCTATAACAAAATGAAAATTTGTCATATTACCTGTGCCAATCCAAACTTTAGGCAGAATACTTATTAGGGGATTGATTTTCTCAAAGCTCTCTGATTTCAAGGTGAAGCAATCCAAGTCATGCCTTGTTTGTGTCCTGGAATGAAAGGAGAAATGAAAAGTGTGTATTCTTTTTTTTCTTAAAATAGATTCCTTAAATTATTTTTTCTTTTTTTAAAAAAGATTTTATTTATTTATTTATTTATTTATTTATTTATTTATGTATTTATTTAAGAGAGAGCGGGTGTGTGCATGAGTAGGGGCGGGGGGCGGAGAGAGGGAGAAGCAGGCTCCCTGCTGAGCAGAAGCCTGATTTGGGGCTCGATCCCAGAACCCTGAGATCATGACCTGAGCTGAAGGCAGACGCTTAACTGACTGAGCCACCCAGGCGCCACATTAAACTATTTCCCAATAGAACAACAGAATATATCAAAGCATACTTGCTGGGATGAGTTTTCCTTTGACCTGGCTTAATGGAATCTCTGAGATTTATGAAAAAATTCCTTTACTACTCTTGCTGTTATGTCTTGTTATTAGTTTTAAACAGACCAGGGCTGACTATTTAATGCACTGAGTTATGGCATATTATTTGAATTGAGAGCTTTGTTCCTATCAAAAGAACGCTGCTGAAGTGAGGAAGGCTTTGAGCCAGTCAGAGCCTTCTCAATATCAATAGGCTCTACTACAAGGAGACTAAGCCAGAATTGGAGAATTTTCGTCCTGTCTGCTACTGTATGACAGGCAAGTCACCTGACTGCTTTGGACTCTGTTCCCTCAGATGTAAAACCAGAGGTTTGGACTAGTAATCCATAATATCCCTAAAGCCAAGATGCTAGGCTTATGAAAAATAATGACTCTGTAAAAGTAAAATACTGCCCTGTGTCTAGAGATTCAGGCAATTCCAGGGTCATTGTAAATAGCCAAAATAAAGCTCAGATTTGATGAAGGGAGAACTCTTCAAAGGCTTCCTCCTAAATATGGAAACAAGGGAGATAACATCAGCACAGGAATAAATCTATTTTATGTAATGTAAAATTCTGTGTCACCTTCCTAAGATCACTGTTACATCCTATTGCAAAATGGGACTTAAGTAGACCACGTGACAATGAAACCTGAAATAAGCCTGTGCTATTCCTTGGGTACCCCAGCCTGATTCATTTTATGCTTATAACAACCTGAAAAAAGTGTGCCGTCCACATTTGTGAGTTCAGAAACTTTCCAGTTCAAGTCTCACATTCACCGAGCGGCAGAGGATTTTAAATTTGCCAGCGCATTTAGGGCAAATTTCTGCAACCTCAGCAAGCCTCCTCTGTGAGGCTTTTTAAAAACAGAGGGTCGTAGTCCACTAACATTAAATAACGTGCTGTTTATCTCTGGGCCAGGCCCTACGCTGCACGCTGTGCACGGATTTTCTCAGCCCTCAAAATGACTCTACGAGGGGAGTCTGGGTGGCTCCGTCGTTAAGCGTCTGTCTTCGGCTCAGGTCATGATCCCAGAGTCCTGGAATCGAGCCCCAGCATTGGGCTCCCTGGTCTACGGGAGGCCTGCTTCTCCCTCTCCCACTCCCCCTGCTTGTGTTCCTTCTCTCGCTGTGTCTCTGTCAAACAAATATATGAAATCTTTAAAAAAAATAAGAAAATAAAAAAGTCTTATTTAAAAAAAAATGACTCTACGAACGAGGTAATTTTAGTCACTGTTTACTCTTTGAAGGGTGGGAGTACGCTCTGAGACCACCTGTGGAGCTGCAGGAGGTGACCGTTACTGCCACCAGGCAGGCCCTTGCAGTGTGGATGAGGGTCTGGGGAAATCTGGGGGAGTTGAGGCGGCGAGTGTCTCGGTGTTTCGGTTCTCTGTAGCCGTTAGGAGCCTCTCTAGCTGTGTCTCGTCATCCTATTGTCTGTCCTTGAGCTCCCCGAGGCTTTGCGCGCCACAATGTGCCCAGGAATCTGTGTGTACCAATTACCCTGCACAGTTCTCGCCTCCTGTTCAGACATCGGAGCAGCAGGAACAAGCGCTGAGAATTGCCCAGCCTGCAGAGGTACCAGACCGGGACCCGATTCTGTCCAGCCACCAGAGCTGGGCGCTGACCGCCAGCCCGCGCAGCCTCGGGGCCAGGGCGGTCCCAGCCGCTCAGCTGACCTGGGGGCGGGGCCCGGGCGGGGGCGGGGCCCTGGCGGCGAGAGGGAGAGCCCGGCTTCTCCCGAGGGACTCGTGCTTCCGCGGCCGCGGATACGGGGGCAGTAGCACCCGCTCTCGATATGTGCCTCCGCCTGCTTCTCCTGCTCGCCTTGTGCAGAGCGGGCCCCACTGCCTTGGGACGCAGCCTCAGCTTGCGGGGAAGCTGGAGGATCCGCAGCGGGAACGGCTCGCTGGAGCTGCCGGGGAGGGTCCCCGGTTGCGTGCACAGCGCCCTGTTGCAGCGGGGCCTCATCCAGGTACTGTGTGCGGCCGCCCCGCCGGAACCTGCACCCGCATGCCCCTCGTCCTGAGAGGGGCCCAGGAACGGCTTGGCAACCCCCAAGCTTTAGGCTGTGTTCCTGGGTTTGGCCCTAACTTTCCCTTTGCGTCTTGTGGTCTGGGGCGGGGAAATGCTGAGGCAATTTATGTACTGTTGGCGGAGAGCACCTCTGGGGTCCGGGCTTGGTGGAGACGGACCGACCCAGTGTGGGACATCTCTAATTCTGGAAAGCGGAAGTTCATACAGGGCATACGGTATTTCTGCTGGCGGTTTTCCTGTTGCTATAGTTCACTGTAGAGTGTATAGAAAGGACTTGTTCTGACAAAGCATAAGGCAGGGGCTTACTGTTTTACTATATGGACACTTCAGGGGACAATAGTTTTGCTAAGTGTTAGCTATATTCAGTAATGTCTTAGTTTTCCTCTTTCACTTGTAGACCTCAGCGAGTCAGATTTGGGATTGATGCAACCCTCCTAGGGTGAGGAGGATGAGACATACAAATGTAAGGTTAGGATTATTAGTACTAGTGTAAAGGCTAAATAATTTTTAAGGCTATTGGGATATGAAGAAAGATGCCATTTCCTCTCAGGGCACGTGATACGTGTGTGTGTCTTAACAGATGCTCCAATTTATAGACTCCTTGTGGAGGACGGTTTTCTATTTGGCTGCCTGTGTGCCGAGGTTTGCAAACAGACTTTCCCACCTTCCACTGTTTTTGTGCACTGTTCCATCAGCTGCATGTGGCTTTCCCATTCTTGAATCATTCTTGCCTGGGACAAGATGTACTTGGTACATTATCCCAGCCCCCATAACATCTCTACAAGAGTAGATCTTCTTAACTGCATTTTATGGATGATAGGGAGTTATGGAGTCCAGAGAAGTTAGAGAATTTACCCAAGATCACACAGCAACTAAGTGGCAGAAGTGGAAGTCTAGCCCAGGCTGGCCTGACTCCATTCCATAGCCTGAGTTCTCAACTTTACTACCCTTACCGTGGTGTTTTGAAAAATTATGATATTCCTGTGGTTGACTATGAGGAATATCATTCACAGTTTACTTAAATGACAGGATCATCAAGTAGGGTTATGCAACATTTCTGATCTGGTACACATGAGCTTTTTTTCAAGAAATATGTATCAGAAAGGAAGTGAAGCTTGTAAATGACACTGACCATAGTCCAGTTTATTTTTTAAAATAACTAATTCTCAAATTTAGGTATGTTAACTACTATTAGTTAACAAACTACTTGTGACATAGACCACAGCTGACCTTGGTACCCTGAGGCTTCCCTCACACATGCTTTGAGAATGCCTGTGTTTATTTTGCAGGGTCTCTCTTTGCCTCATTTTACTGAAAAATTAAGGGCAGTGAGAAATAATTAGTGGCTTTAGCAAATCAGATGATTATTCCATGTTACAAGGCTACATATTAAGAAATAGTGTTTGGTTACTAGCTAATGAGAAGGAGGTTGTCAGAGTATGAAATAACTGACTTTTCCTCATGGAAATAATTTACAGTGTTTGTTAAATAATGTTCAGAAATTCTTAGAAAAACTTTAAGTTCAATAAGGTGTATGTGGGTTTTAAATGGTAGTGGGATGAGAGGTCAGGGAGGCTTTTGGGGATTGGGGAACTCTGGGCCTGATCATCAGCAACATCAGTATTACTGAGTAATACGCTGCTGTTATTTCACCGGCTTCATTCCAACTTCCCTTCCTGGTGTTGGCCTCAGGAAATAACTCTGTTGTTTAGAGCAGATACTGGCCCCGATACTGTGTTTATACAGAGAACTTGAAACATATCTTGCCAAAGTTATTTACTTATTTATTCCGCTAATTACCTTGTAAGTATTCGGTACTTCCAACATAACAGGCACTATTCAAAGTGCCTGAAATTGAGTGGTGAAGAAAAACTCTTTGTCCCAATAGGCATTCTAGTGGAGGAGATAGACAACAGACAAATTAATAGATAATATATTGGCAGGTGGTGCACGGAAAAGAAAGCCGATTAGAGGAAGCGAGGGTAGAAGGACTGCTATTAGAATAAAGCAGTTAAAGATAGCCATTTTGATAAAGTGACTTTTAAGCAGCGATCTTTTTGGTAAGGTCAGTTTTAAAAAGAAGTGGATTCCCAGCAAAGATGGAAAAAAGACGGGTGTGGAGAGGGGAGAGGCCTTGAGGTAGGAACGTGCTTGACAAGTTCTAGGAATAGTAAGGTGGCCAGTGTGGCTGGAACCCTGTGAGACATCGCGGAAGGGAATGTGTTCAAAGAGGGCATCTGCAGCAGATCATGCAGGGCTTGTAAGCCATGGGAAACACGTTGGATTTTATTCTACATGTATTGGGAGTTTGGAGCATAGAGTTGCATGAATGGATCTGCCTGTTAGAAGGTCATTTTGGCTGTGTGAAGACCAAATGAACAGGATTTATTCATTTGGATTTGTCAATGGATTGGGTGTGAGGTGTGAAAGAAAGAGGAGTCAAAGAAAACTTCAGGATTTTTTGGTCTGAGCAGTTAGTTAAATAGAATTCATCTTTACTGAGAGGCCCCTTTGGCTAGCCTTCGGTGTTTCATAGGTGACTCGTCTGTGTTTCCTATACAGGATCTAAATCTTAGGTGTCTTGGAGAGCCTTTGAGCTCCCTGATAAAGGTTATCATTCATTCATTCAGCCTACTGTTATACCACACATTAAATAAAGTATGCATTATAATAAAAAAGAAATGAATAAGACTCAGTTCCTGTTTTGTAGGAGGTCCCATTCTTGTGAGGCAGAAAACCTAACTAATCACCATATGATATACTAAGTGCTTAGATAAGGGGACTTTTGTTAGGAATGGTCTCAGATTTCCTATGCAATTCCTCCGTGGTGCAAGTTTGAAAAGCTTTTTTTTTTAATTTTTAAAAATTTTATTTATTTATCTGTCAGAGAGAGAGGGAGAGCACAAGTAGGGGGAATGGCAGGCAGAGGGAGAAGCAGGCTCCCCGCCGAGCAAGGAGCTGGATGTGGGACTCGATCCCAGGACCCTGGGATCATGACCTGAGCCGAAGGCAGATGCCCAACCTACTGAGCCACCCAGGTGTCCCACATTTTTCATTTCTTTTAGATAAAAGATTCTCAGTGTGCCAAAATTAGAAAACATAGATGAGAAGAAGAAAACTTGGAAACCTGGCTTTCAGAGATAACTACTATTAAAATTTAAAAATATATCCATTCAGAACTTTTCTGTCTGTACACATTTTTGATAATTATTTAAATATACAGTGTAACAAATTTTTTATATAGAATATTTTTGATGGTTTTACATATGATAAACATTGCTACAAACCATGTTTAAGGGCTCTTTGATTTCATTGTATATATTTGCTATCATATGATCAATCACTTACTGTTGGATAGTTATCTGACTTGATTTTTTTCTATTCTTTGATGAAGATCCTTTTAACTAAATTTTAGTTAGCATATATCCTTATTTTCTTAGACATTTCTTAGAAGTGCAATTGCTGATTCAAAGGGTATGCACTTTTTTAGCCTTTTAATATGTACTTATAAGTTTTTCTCAATAAAAACTGTAACAGTTTCACATTCCCATCATCATTTTATCAGAGTGCTCATTTTAGGTGCTAGATTTGGACATTATTCTATTTATTTAGTTTTTAAAAAGATTTATTTATTTATTTTAGAGAGAGAGTGCAGGTGCATGTGAGTGGAGGGAGGGGCAGAGGGAGAGGGAGAGAGAGAATATCAAGCCGACTCCCCGCTGAGTAGGGAGCCTTGGGTGGGGTAGGGGGTGCTCAATCCCACAACCCTGAGATCATGACCTGAGCCAGAATCAAGAGTGGGACACTCAACTGACTGAGCCACCCAGGTGCCCCATTTGGACATTATTATTATTATTTTTTAAAAGATTTTATTTATTTGACAGAGAGAGAGAGTGAGAGCAGGACCACAAGCAGGGGGAGTGGGAGAGGGAGAACCAGGCTTCCTGCTGAGCAGGGAGCCTGATGCGGGGCTCAATCCCAGGACCCTGGGATTATGACCTGAGCCGAAGGCAGACGCCCAACTACTGAGTCACCCAGGCGCGCCTGGACATTATTTTAAAAAGCAAAACTGAACACAATTTATAGTGAGGTTGAACATCTTTTATATGTTTATTTCATGTTTATTGGTGATTTGGGGTTACTTATTCATGTTCTTTATTTTTCTGTTGGCTGTTCATCTTTTAAAATACAGATTTGTTAGACCTCTTGTTATATATTTTCAAAATGTCTCTTTTGTTAATGATTTATTTTGTCATATAGCTGTTTTAAAGTTTTATATATTGAAAATCTTGTAAGGTTTTTTCCTTTTATGATTGTTTCTGTCTTTGATATTATACTTCAGAAGTAATTTCCTCTTTCCCAATTAAATAAATATTTACAATTATTTCCCTTTTTTAGTATCTTTATAATTCCCTTAACATGTTTAAAATATTGATCCATTTGAGATTTTCAAATGGTTGGTTTTTATATCCCATAATTTAAAAATTTCTCTTTTGTTCACTGATATAAAACATTACTTTTTCATGTATGAAATTCTCACATACTGATAATTTTCCTATTCACTCTCTTAAAATTATTTTTTAAAGAATTACAAATGTCTAATCTTCTTGAACAAAAAAATTGATACACAAAAATATAAAATATAA